AAGACAGCCAGAAGAATCAAGACTTGACGCGGCGCAAATCAATCGATGGCGCAGCTTTGATTGCAAATTGTCTACACATCGTCAGATAAGTACAACAAAACAGGGACTACCAACCGAAAATGTGCTGAAAAAAGTGTTACTCAAGGTCAGCTGGTGACGCAGTTGAACTGCGAAGTGCACATTGTTAGAATTAACTAGGTTGTGGAGCTGATGCTGAGAAGAAGATGGCTTACGGCCGGGGATGAAAACCGAAAAGTGAGTTGTATTCAAATTGTTCCTAGCTTCGAAAACGAATGGCTAGTAGTAGCCGGTGACTCTCAGCCACCTATTTCGTGCCCTGTCTCCACCGCTTTCTGTTTTACCTATCCCTGGGTAATTACGTCTCGTAAATACCTTTCGTAAAAACTCTGCTGTGTCATATGCTGAATGAAAACGATTGCGTGGGTGGGGGGACGTAACTGCGGGCGGGTCACAGTTCTGGTGAACCCCAAACACCAGGTCGTGAGTGTCAGTCACAATTAACTTGTACACGGCGGGGATCGAACCCGCACTCACCCGCGTGGAATCCCCCTTCCCAAACGACTGAGCCAATCCGATGACTTGTCGTTTCGCTAACATCCCACAATATAAACCTGCCAAAGAACAATACAACTAATGCAAATATGCAATATACACCCTGCACAAGTCGCCGCATCATCACTCGCTAACACTCTCCCTTGATGTGCGTGCGACGTGTGACCCCTACACCGCCATGCACAGACCCGTGATGAACTTGCTGTGCTTGTCTCTTGGAAGTGCTTTGGTGAATCCATCCGCGACCATTTCTTCTGTCGGCTTGAACTCTAGCGCGATAACTGCACTTGCAACCTTTTCACGCAAAAAGTGAAACTTGATGTCGATGTGCTTCGTGCGCGAGTGGTACACAGGATTCTTGGCCAGCGCGATGCAACCTTGATTGTCTTGAAAAATCGTCGTCGCGTTCTTGGCACAGTAGTTCAGGTCCTTGAGCAGACCTCGAAGCCAAATTGCTTCCTGCGTCGCGCTGTACAGACTCATGTACTCTGCTTCCGTACTTGAGGTCGCGACCGTTGGTTGACGCTTCGAGTTCCACGATATCACGCTTCCGTTCAGGAAGAAAACGTATCCTGTTGTCGAACGCCGCGTGTCGAGGTCGCCAGCCCAGTTTGCATCCGCAAATCCAATCAGCTCTCCCTTGTTGATGCCGCTGAAAACGATGCTTAAGTCTTGAGTCGTCTTGAGATACTTGAGAATCCGCTTTGCTGCTGTCCAATGCGACTTGTCGTAGCGCTCGCAAAACTTCGCAACTTCGCCAACCGCATGCGCAATGTCCGGTCGTGTACATGTGGCGATGTACATTAAAGCGCCCACCAGCTCACGGTATGGGTACTTTGGTACAAACGCTTCCTCTTGACCCATCTTGATCAGCTTCGAATTACTGTCCGCCGGCGTGTGCATGTCCTTGCAGTTCTCAACGCCGAACTTCTCCGAAAGTCGCTTGATGTACGCCTTCTGGTTCATCTTGATCGTTCCATCTTCGCGCTTGCGATGAATCTCGATCCCGAGGCAGTACTTGAGATCTCCAAGATCTTTAATGCTGAAATCTTCCATCAATGAGTTCTTGATACTTGCGATGTGCTCCTTCGTCTTGCAGAAAATCATCAAGTCGTCCACGTAGATCACGATGATGCTGTACTCCTCTCTTGTCACTCGAACGAACACACACGGGTCCGCTGTACTGCTCTTGAATCCTTGATCAACCAAGTGCTGACTCAACTTGTTGTTCCACTGCCGCGCCGCTTGCTTCGTCCCGTATAGCGCCTTCTGCAGCAAACACTTCTTATTCGGGCTTCCTTCATCTTCAAAACCGTCAGGTTGGTCCATGTAGATCTCCTCCTCCACTTCGCCGTAGAGAAACGCTGTGTCGACATCAATGTTTTCTGCTTCCAGGTCTTCGGCTGCAGCGATCGCCAACACTGTGTTGATAGATTCCTTGCGCGCCACTGGTGCGAAGGTCTCGTTATAGTCGATGCCAGGACGCTGCGTGAACCCTTTCGCAACCAAGCGTGCCTTGAACTTGATGATCTCGCCACTTGGATCGCGTTTAATCTTGAAGACCCACTTGCAGCCAACGGCCTTCTTGCCCGGTGGCATGTCCATTAGCTTCCATGTGCTGTGTTCTTCAAGCGACTTCATCTCACTCTTCATTGCCTGGAGCCACTGCTCCTTGTAGCCGCTCTTCATCACTTCTCGATAGCTGGACGCTTGTTCCCCATCTTCTTCAGCCGAGAAACAGTAGAAAGAGTCGAAGTCACCTTCGTAGTCGTCCAAATTGAAGCGACCGCGACGATGGCTTGGAAATTCTTGTTCGTAGCGAACCACGCCGCGCTTCTTTCGAACCGGTCGCACCATCCACTCTTCTTCTCCATTTCTTCCGGGTGTGCTGGATGCGCGCGTAGGAATGGTGTCGCTTGGTCGAACACTTGGTCCGTGATGAGAGCTGTTCTGCGCTCGAAGTGGTGGGGTGCGCAGCTCTTCTTCGGTCACCGGCGCTGGTATGTCTTCATCATCGGTTAGCGACGCCTCCACACTTTCATCTTCTTCAATGACATCGAAGACCTGCGTGTCTCTGCTTTTCGATGCTTTCGGGACAGAATGCTCAGCGAACGTGACGCTTCTTGAAATCACGATCGAGCCATCGTCCGCGTTGAGAAGCCGATACGCCTTTTGGTCCTTCTCATAGCCGAGAAAGAAACATCGCACGCCTGAGTCGTCCAGCTTCTTTCTCTTCTCCTTCGCCACATGCGCATAGCATTGCGCACCAAACACGCGCATGTGATCGATGCGCGGAACCTTCTTGAACACCATTTCGTGTGGGCTTGAGTTCTTGTTCGACGCGTTCGGCAGAATGTTTCTGATGTCTGCCGCTGTCATTAGTGCCTCGCACCAATAGGACTTGTCGAGGCCGCTTTCCTTGAGCATACAGCGCGTCATCTCCACCAGCGTGCGGTTCATCCGCTCCGCCATCCCGTTCTGCTCTGGATTGTACGGAACCGTGAACTCTTGCTTAATGAACTTTGCCTTGCAAAAGCTGTTCATCGTTTCGTTCCGGTATTCGCCGCCGTTGTCACTTCGCAACACCTTTATCTTCGTTCCAGATGCTGTCTTGACATCTTGGTAAAACCGCTTGAACGCACTCGCAACGTCGCTCTTCTTTCGCAACGGATAGACCGTTACATACCTGCTCTTCATCATGATGAAGGTTACGGCGTAACTGAAACCAGACTTGGACGCTGGCGTGATAGGTCCGAGAACGTCGGAGCACACCACCACGTCGGAACGCGAACTCTCCCTGGTTTCAGCGTCTTCTTCACTTGTCTTGAATGACTTGCGCACTTGCTTTGACGTTGCGCATACGTCACACGCAACGTTCGTCTTCATCGTTGCGCCCTTGATCCTTCCGTCCTTGACCATGGCATTCAGCGTACCATACGACACGTGACCCAGTCTTCTATGCCATAGCTCTGTATCGTCTTCGGCCATGTGGCACTCCGTACCACAGTCAGCATTGAGATACAGGAGGAACCCCTGCTTCCTTCCTGTTGCGACGGGTGTGCCGCCACGCTTGACCACGCACTCGTTGCGCGTTATCTCCACTGTCATGCCGCGCGCTGCCGCAGCCGTGAGCGAAAACAGGTTCTTGGACAAATCTTGAACGTGAAGTGTGTTCTCAAGGCGAGCGTCGATCCACGCATGCCCTGTCCAGACGCGCAGCTTCACTGTCCCATGTCCAATGACATTCAGCTTCACGTCGCTCTTTGCGCTTGAAATGCTTCGCGCATGATGCACTTCTTCGTACTCTTCGAACGCATCTCGATCCTTGCACATGTGTGCTGACGCGCCACTGTCCATGACCCAGCTGTTGCTCGCGAAACCTTCGCTGGCATGAAACGCGACATTCGACTGGTCATGCTGTTGCTCCCTTGGCCCTCGACCGGAGCGACAATCTCTGGCGTAGTGTCCGACCTTGCCACAGTTGTAGCAGGTCCCTGATGGTCCTTTCGCGCGCCGTCCTTGTTGCTTCTTCTGGTACTGCTTACCCTTCCTCTTGCCTGCGTAGAGCGCCGTTGCATCTTCTACTCGTGCTCCCTCATTCTGGCGCACTTCTTCGGCGATCAACTTGCTCACGAGGTCACTGAAACTGAAGCTTGCGACGGACATGCGGAATGCCTGTACCAAGCTCTCGAAGCTTGAAGGTAGACTCCGCAACAGTACTGCGCACACGTCCTCTTCACTTGGACCGCAGTTCGCGCGCTTCATCTTCATCACGAGGTCCTCCAGCTCCATCACATGACCGCTCATGCTTGATGCTGCATACTTGAACGACGCGAACTTTTCCTTCAGCCAAAGTCGATTCGCCATGTCATGACTGTGATGAAATCGCGCCAGACGTCCCCACGCTTCTCTTGCGGTGGCCGAGTCGATGACATGCATCAACTGTGAATCGCTCAGATTCAGCACGATCGCGGCGTGGGCTTGCTGTTCCTTGGCCTCACTTGTTGTCTCATCGCCCGCGATCGCGCCCCACAGCCCCTTCGACATCAGGTACATCTTCATCTTGTAACTCCACAACCCATAGTTCGAGCCGTCGAAAGGCTCGACCTTGAAACCGGAGTCGTTACTTGGGCTCATAACCTGTTAGAATTAACTAGGTTGTGGAGCTGATGCTGAGAAGAAGATGGCTTACGGCCGGGGATGAAAACCGAAAAGTGAGTTGTATTCAAATTGTTCCTAGCTTCGAAAACGAATGGCTAGTAGTAGCCGGTGACTCTCAGCCACCTATTTCGTGCCCTGTCTCCACCGCTTTCTGTTTTACCTATCCCTGGGTAATTACGTCTCGTAAATACCTTTCGTAAAAACTCTGCTGTGTCATATGCAGAATGAAAACGATTGCGTGGGTGGGGGACGTAACTGCGGGCGGGTCACAGTTCTGGTGAACCCCAAACACCAGGTCGTGAGTGTCAGTCACAATTAACTTGTACACGGCGGGGATCGAACCCGCACTCACCCGCGTGGAATCCCCCTTCCCAAACGACTGAGCCAATCCGATGACTTGTCGTTTCGCTAACATCCCACAATATAAACCTGCCAAAGAACAATACAACTAATGCAAATATGCAATATACACCCTGCACAAGTCGCCGCATCATCACTCGCTAACACACATTTGGGAATGTGCTGGTGCTGACTGGTTTTGTCATCGTAACATGATCACGCCGGAGATGCATGGCATCGATCCACGTGCCTCCCGTTCGAGAAGCGAGCGCTCGACAACCAGAGCCTCATGCTCACGTGTTATCACTGTCAACACACTATTAACATACCGATCCGGCATGCATAGACCGAATCACAACAACGGCCACAACAATACGTCGTTCTTGACTTTGCTATCACGACATTCCAATCAGTGATGGCACAACCACAAACGCACAACGCTTTTTACATACGCTACAAGAGCACAAAACAACTCGTCAGAATATTCGGATCCATTTCATATGTACCACTCAGTGCACTGGCATGCAAAATCATCAACTCAATATTGGACACTGCTGAATACGAGCTTGCCACTAACATCTGGGATGAAGAATCATCCGATCTTGCAACCTAGCGACAATTATCTGTCTGTACAATCGCACCAAAGGTTGAGCTGCTCGTAACCGCCTCACCTGGCTGCAGCAACTCTTACGCAGCATATGTTCGATTCGAAAACACACGTCGGAATGCATCCAGACGGTAGTGCGCGCTCCGGGCTTGTAAAGTAAATAGATAGATGCGCCTCATCAGTCATGTACAGAGCCGAGTGGTTTCTGTTCGTCTTTACAATACTGTCAAGTAAGACAGCAAGAAGAATCAAGACTTGACGCGGCGCAAATCAATCGATAGCACAGCTTTGATTGCAAATTGTCTACACATCGTCAGATAAGTACAACAAAACAGGGACTACCAACCGAAAATGTGCTGAAAAAAGTGTTACTCAAGGTCAGCTGGTGACGCAGTTGAACTGCGAAGTGCACATTTGGGAATGTGCTGGTGCTGACTGGTTTTGTCATCGTAACATGATCACGCCGGAGAGACATGGCATCGATCCACGTGCCTCCCGTTCGAGAAGCGAGCGCTCGACAACCAGAGCCTCATGCTCACGTGTTATCACTGTCAACACACTATTAACATACCGATCCGGCATGCATAGACCGAATCACAACAACGGCCACAACAATACGTCGTTCTTGACTTTGCTATCACGACATTCCAATCAGTTATGGCACAACCACAAACGCACAACGCTTTTTACATACGCTACAAGAGCACAAAACAACTCGTCAGAATATTCGGATCCATTTCATATGTACCACTCAGTGCACTGGCATGCAAAATCATCAACTCAATATTGGACACTGCTGAATACGAGCTTGCCACTAACATCTGGGATGAAGAATCATCCGATCTTGCAACCTAGCGACAATTATCTGTCTGTACAATCGCACCAAAGGTTGAGCTGCTCGTAACCGCCTCACCTGGCTGCAGCAACTCTTACGCAGCATATGTTCGATTCGAAAACACACGTCGGAATGCATCCAGACGGTAGTGCGCGCTCCGGGCTTGTAAAGTAAATAGATAGATGCGCCTCATCAGTCATGTACAGAGCCGAGTGGTTTCCGTTCGTCTTTACAATACTGTCAAGTAAGACAGCAAGAAGAATCAAGACTTGACGCGGCGCAAATCAATCGATAGCACAGCTTTGATTGCAAATTGTCTACACATCGTCAGATAAGTACAACAAAACAGGGACTACCAACCGAAGATGTGCTGAAAAAAGTGTTACTCAAGGTCAGCTGGTGACGCAGTTGAACTGCAAAGTGCACATTTGGGAATGTGCTGGTGCTGACTGGTTTTGTCATCGTAACATGATCACGCCGGAGATGCATGGCATCGATCCACGTGCCTCCCGTTCGAGAAGCGAGCGCTCGACAACCAGAGCCTCATGCTCACGTGTTATCACTGTCAACACACTATTAACATACCGATCCGGCATGCATAGACCGAATCACAACAACGTCCACAACAATACGTCGTTCTTGACTTTGCTATCACGACATTCCAATCAGTGATGGCACAACCACAAACGCACAACGCTTTTTTACATACGCTACAAGAGCACAAAACAACTCGTCAGAATATTCGGATCCATTTCATATGTACCACTCAGTGCACTGGCATGCAAAATCATCAACTCAATATTGGACACTGCTGAATACGAGCTTGCCACTAACATCTGGGATGAAGAATCATCCGATCTTGCAACCTAGCGACAATTATCTGTCTGTACAATCGCACCAAAGGTTGAGCTGCTCGTAACCGCCTCACCTGGCTGCAGCAACTGTTACGCAGCATATGTTCGATTCGAAAACACACGTCGGAATGCATCCAGATGGTAGTGCGCGCTCCGGGCTTGTAAAGTAAATAGATAGATGCGCCTCATCAGTCATGTACAGAGCCGAGTGGTTTCTGTTCGTCTTTACAATACTGTCAAGTAAGACAGCAAGAAGAATCAAGACTTGACGCGGCGCAAATCAATCGATAGCGCAGCTTTGATTGCAAATTGTCTACACATCGTCAGATAAGTACAACAAAACAGGGACTACCAACCGAAGATGTGCTGAAAAAAGTGTTACTCAAGGTCAGCTGGTGACGCAGTTGAACTGCGAAGTGCACATTTGGGAATGTGCTGGTGCTGACTGGTTTTGTCATCGTAACATGATCACGCCGGAGATGCATGGCATCGATCCACGTGCCTCCCGTTCGAGAAGCGAGCGCTCGACAACCAGAGCCTCATGCTCACGTGTTATCACTGTCAACACACTATTAACATACCGATCCGGCATGCATAGACCGAATCACAACAACGGCCACAACAATACGTCGTTCTTGACTTTGCTATCACGACATTCCAATCAGTGATGGCACAACCACAAACGCACAACGCTTTTTACATACGCTACAAGAGCACAAAACAACTCGTCAGAATATTCGGATCCATTTCATATGTACCACCTCAGTGCACTGGCATGCAAAATCATCAACTCAATATTGGACACTGCTGAATACGAGCTTGCCACTAACATCTGGGATGAAGAATCATCCGATCTTGCAACCTAGCGACAATTATCTGTCTGTACAATCGCACCAAAGGTTGAGCTGCTCGTAACCGCCTCACCTGGCTGCAGCAACTCTTACGCAGCATATGTTCGATTCGAAAACACACGTCGGAATGCATCCAGACGGTAGTGCGCGCTCCGGGCTTGTAAAAGTAAATAGATAGATGCGCCTCATCAGTCATGTACAGAGCCGAGTGGTTTCTGTTCGTCTTTTACAATACTGTCAAGTAAGACAGCAAGAAGAATCAAGACTTGACGCGGCGCAAATCAATCGATAGCACAGCTTTGATTGCAAATTGTCTACACATCGTCAGATAAGTACAACAAAACAGGGACTACCAACCGAAAATGTGCTGAAAAAGTGTTACTCAAGGTCAGCTGGTGACGCAGTTGAACTCGCGAAGTGCACATTTGGGAATGTGCTGGTGCTGACTGGTTTTGTCATCGTAACATGATCACGCCGGAGAGACATGGCATCGATTCACGTGCCTCCCGTTCGAGAAGCGAGCGCTCGACAACCAGAGCCTCATGCTCACGTGTTACCACTGTCAACACACTATTAACATACCGATCCGGCATGCATAGACCGAATCACAACAACGGCCACAACAATACGTCGTTCTTGACTTTGCTATCACGACATTCCAATCAGTGATGGCACAACCACAAACGGACAAAGCTTTTTACATACGCTACAAGAGCACAAAACAACTCGTCAGAATATTCGGATCCATTTCATATGTACCACTCAGTGCACTGGCATGCAAAATCATCAACTCAATATTGGACACTGCTGAATACGAGCTTGCCACTAACATCTGGGATGAAGAATCATCCGATCTTGCAACCTAGCGACAATTATCTGTCTGTACAATCGCACCAAAGGTTGAGCTGCTCGTAACCGCCTCACCTGGCTGCAGCAACTCTTACGCAGCATATGTTCGATTCGAAAACACACGTCGGAATGCATCCAGACGGTAGTGCGCGCTCCGGGCTTGTAAAGTAAATAGATAGATGCGCCTCATCAGTCATGTACAGAGCCGAGTGGTTTCTGTTCGTCTTTACAATACTGTCAAGTAAGACAGCAAGAAGAATCAATACTTGACGCGGCGCAAATCAATCGATAGCGCAGCTTTGATTGCAAATTGTCTACACATCGTCAGATAAGTACAACAAAACAGGGACTACCAACCGAAAATGTGCTGAAAAAAGTGTTACTCAAGGTCAGCTGGTGACGCAGTTGAACTGCGAAGTGCACATTTGGGAATGTGCTGGTGCTGACTGGTTTTGTCATCGTAACATGATCACGCCGGAGATGCATGGCATCGATCCACGTGCCTCCCGTTCGAGAAGCGAGCGCTCGACAACCAGAGCCTCATGCTCACGTGTTACCACTGTCAACACACTATTAACATACCGATCCGGCATGCATAGACCGAATCACAACAACGGCCACAACAATACGTCGTTCTTGACTTTGCTATCACGACATTCCAATCAGTGATGGCACAACCACAAACGCACAACGCTTTTTACATACGCTACAAGAGCACAAAACAACTCATCAGAATATTCGGATCCATTTCATATGTACCACTCAGTGCACTGGCATGCAAAATCATCAACTCAATATTGGACACTGCTGAATACGAGCTTGCCACTAACATCTGGGATGAAGAATCATCCGATCTTGCAACCTAGCGACAATGATCTGTCTGTACAATCGCACCAAAGGTTGAGCTGCTCGTAACCGCCTCACCTGGCTGCAGCAACTGTTACGCAGCATATGTTCGATTCGAAAACACACGTCGGAATTCATCCAGATGGTAGTGCGCGCTCCGGGCTTGTAAAGTAAATAGATAGATGCGCCTCATCAGTCATGTACAGAGCCGAGTGGTTTCCGTTCGTCTTTACAATACTGTCAAGTAAGACAGCCAGAATAATCAAGACTTGACGCGGCGCAAATCAATCGATGGCGCAGCTTTGATTGCAAATTGTCTACACATCGTCAGATAAGTACAACAAAACAGGGACTACCAACCGAAAATGTGCTGAAAAAGTGTTACTCAAGGTCAGCTGGTGACGCAGTTGAACTGCGAAGTGCACATTTGGGAATGTGCTGGTGCTGACTGGTTTTGTCATCGTAACATGATCACGCCGGAGAGACATGGCATCGATTCACGTGCCTCCCGTTCGAGAAGCGAGCGCTCGACAACCAGAGCCTCATGCTCACGTGTTACCACTGTCAACACACTATTAACATACCGATCCGGCATGCATAGACCGAATCACAACAACGGCCACAACAATACGTCGTTCTTGACTTTGCTATCACGACATTCCAATCAGTGATGGCACAACCACAAACGGACAAAGCTTTTTACATACGCTACAAGAGCACAAAACAACTCGTCAGAACTTATCCCCCTCTTTGTTTAAAAATAATATTCGGATCCATTTCAATTTTCCCCCCCCAGTCCCGGGCCGGCAAAACACTCAACTCAATATTGGACACTGCTGAATACGAGCTTGCCACTAACATCTGGGATGAAGAATCATCCGATCTTGCAACCTAGCGACAATTATCTGTCTGTACAATCGCACCAAAGGTTGAGCTGCTCGTAACCGCCTCACCTGGCTGCAGCAACTCTTACGCAGCATATGTTCGATTCGAAAACACACGTCGGAATGCATCCAGATGGGTAGTGCGCGCTCCGGGCTTGTAAAGTAAATAGATAGATGCGCCTCATCAGTCATGTACAGAGCCGAGTGGTTTCTTCTGTTCGTCTTTACAATACTGTCAAGTAAGACAGCAAGAAGAATCAAGACTTGACGCGGCGCAAATCAATCGATAGCGCAGCTTTGATTGCAAAATTGTCTACACATCGTCAGATAAGTACAACAAAACAGGGACTACCAACCGAAAAGTATGCGAAAAAAGTGTTACTCAAGGTCAGCTGGTGACGCAGTTGAACTGCGAAGTGCACATTTGGGGAATGTGCTGGTGCTGACTGGTTTTGTCATCGTAACATGATCACGCCGGAGAGACATGGCATCGATTCACGTGCCTCCCGTTCGAGAAGCGAGCGCTCGACAACCAGAGCCTCATGCTCACGTCGACTGTCAACACACTATTAACATACCGATCCGGCATGCATAGACCGAATCACAACAACGGCCACAACAATACGTCGTTCTTGACTTTGCTATCACGACATTCCAATCAGTGATGGCACAACCACAAACGGACAACGCTTTTTACATACGCTACAAGAGCACAAAACAACTCGTCAGAATATTCGGATCCATTTCATATGTACCACTCAGTGCACTGGCATGCAAAATCATCAACTCAATATTGGACACTGCTGAATACGAGCTTGCCACTAACATCTGGGATGAAGAATCATCCGATCTTGCAACCTAGCGACAATTATCTGTCTGTACAATCGCACCAAAGGCTGAGCTGCTCGTAACCGCCTCACCTGGCTGCAGCAACTCTTACGCAGCATATGTTCGATTCGAAAACACACGTCGGAATGCATCCAGACGGTAGTGCGCGCTCCGGGCTTGTAAATTAAATAGATAGATGCGCCTCATCAGTCATGTACAGAGCCGAGTGGATTCTGTTCGTCTTTACAATACTGTCAAGTAAGACAGCAAGAAGAATCAAGACTTGACGCGGCGCAAATCAATCGATAGCGCAGCAGCTTTGATTGCAAATTGTCTACACATCGTCAGATAAGTACAACAAAACAGGGACTACCAACCAAAAATGTGCTGAAAAAAAGTGTTACTCAAGGTCAGCTGGTGACGCAGTTGAACTGCGAAGTGCACATTTGGGAATGTGCTGGTGCTGACTGGTTTTGTCATCGTAACATGATCACGCCGGAGATGCATGGCATCGATCCACGTGCCTCCCGTTCGAGAAGCGAGCGCTCGACAACCAGAGCCTCATGCTCACGTGTTACCACTGTCAACACACTATTAACATACCGATCCGGCATGCATAGACCGAATCACAACAACGGCCACAACAATACGTCGTTCTTGACTTTGCTATCACGACATTCCAATCAGTGATGGCACAACCACAAACGGACAAAGCTTTTTACATACGCTACAAGAGCACAAAACAACTCGTCAGAATATTCGGATCCATTTCATATGTACCACTCAGTGCACTGGCATGCAAAATCATCAACTCAATATTGGACACTGCTGAATACGAGCTTGCCACTAACATCTGGGATGAAGAATCATCCGATCTTGCAACCTAGCGACAATTATCTGTCTGTACAATCGCACCAAAGGTTGAGCTGCTCGTAACCGCCTCACCTGGCTGCAGCAACTCTTACGCAGCATATGTTCGATTCGAAAACACACGTCGGAATTCATCCAGATGGTAGTGCGCGCTCCGGGCTTGTAAAGTAAATAGATAGATGCGCCTCATCAGTCATGTACAGAGCCGAGTGGTTTCCGTTCGTCTTTACAATACTGTCAAGTAAGACAGCAAGAAGAATCAAGACTTGACGCGGCGCAAATCAATCGATAGCACAGCTTTGATTGCAAATTGTCTACACATCGTCAGATAAGTACAACAAAACAGGGACTACCAACCGAAGATGTGCTGAAAAAAGTGTTACTCAAGGTCAGCTGGTGACGCAGTTGAACTGCGAAGTGCACATTTGGGAATGTGCTGGTGCTGACTGGTTTTGTCATCGTAACATGATCACGCCGGAGAGACATGGCATCGATTCACGTGCCTCCCGTTCGAGAAGCGAGCGCTCGACAACCAGAGCCTCATGCTCACGTGTTACCACTGTCAACACACTATTAACATACCGATCCGGCATGCATAGACCGAATCACAACAACGGCCACAACAATACGTCGTTCTTGACTTTGCTATCACGACATTCCAATCAGTGATGGCACAACCACAAACGCACAACGCTTTTTACATACGCTACAAGAGCACAAAACAACTCGTCAGAATATTCGGATCCATTTCATATGTACCACTCAGTGCACTGGCATGCAAAATCATCAACTCAATATTGGACACTGCTGAATACGAGCTTGCCACTAACATCTGGGATGAAGAATCATCCGATCTTGCAACCTAGCGACAATTCATCTGTCTGTACAATCGCACCAAAGGTTGAGCTGCTCGTAACCGCCTCACCTGGCTGCAGCAACTGTTACGCAGCATATGTTCGATTCGAAAACACACGTCGGAATGCATCCAGACGGTAGTGCGCGCTCCGGGCTGTAAATCAAATAGATAGATGTGCCTCATCAGTCATGTACAGAGCCGAGTGGTTTCTGTTCGTCTTTACAATACTGTCAAGTAAGACAGCAAGAAGAATCAAGACTTGACGCGGCGCAAATCAATCGATAGCGCAGCTTTGATTGCAAATTGTCTACACATCGTCAGATAAGTACAACAAAACAGGGACTACCAACCGAAGATGTGCTGAAAAAGTGTTACTCAAGGTCAGCTGGTGACGCAGTTGAACTGCGAAGTGCACATTTGGGAATGTGCTGGTGCTGACTGGTTTTGTCATCGTAACATGATCACGCCGGAGAGGCATGGCATCGATCCACGTGCCTCCTGTCCGAGAAGCGAGCGCTCGACAACCAGAGCCTCATGCTCACGTGTTATCACTGTCAACACACTATTAACATACCGATCCGGCATGCATAGACCGAATCACAACAACGTCGCCACAACAATACGTCGTTCTTGACTTTGCTATCACGACATTCCAATCAGTGATGGCACAACCACAAACGCACAACGCTTTTACATACGCTACAAGAGCACAAAACAACTCGTCAGGAATATTCGGATCCATTTCATATGTACCACTCAGTGCACTGGCATGCAAAATCATCAACTCAATATTGGACACTGCTGAATACGAGCTTGCCACTAACATCTGGGATGAAGAATCATCCGATCTTGCAACCTAGCGACAATGATCTGTCTGTACAATCGCACCAAAGGTTGAGCTGCTCGTAACCGCCTCACCTGGCTGCAGCAACTGTTACGCAGCATATGTTCGATTCGAAAACACACGTCGGAATGCATCCAGACGGTAGTGCGCGCTCCGGGCTTGTAAAGTAAATAGATAGATCGCCTCATCAGTCATGTACAGAGCCGAGTGGTTTCTGTTCGTCTTTACAATACTGTCAAGTAAGACAGCAAGAAGAATCAAGACTTGACGCGGCGCAAATCAATCGATGGCGGCAGCTTTGATTGCAAATTGTCTACACATCGTCAGATATGTACAACAAAACAGGGACTACCAACCGAAAATGTGCTGAAAAAGTGTTACTCAAGGTCAGCTGGTGACGCAGTTGAACTGCGAAGTGCACATTTGGGAATGTGCTGGTGCTGACTGGTTTTGTCATCGTAACATGATCACGCCGGAGAGACATGGCATCGATCCACGTGCCTCCCGTTCGAGAAGCGAGCGCTCGACAACAGAGCCTCATGCTCACGTGTTATCACTGTCAACACACTATTAACATACCGATCCGGCATGCATAGACCGAATCACAACAACGGCCACAACAATACGTCGTTCTTGACTTTGCTATCACGACATTCCAATCAGTGATGGCACAACCACAAACGCACAACGCTTTTTTACATACGCTACAAGAGCACAAAACAACTCGTCAGAATATTCGGATCCATTTCATATGTACCACTCAGTGCACTGGCATGCAAAATCATCAACTCAATATTGGACACTGCTGAATACGAGCTTGTCACTAACATCTGGGATGAAGAATCATCCGATCTTGCAACCTAGCGACAATTATCTGTCTGTACAATCGCAACCAAAGGTTGAGCTGCTCGTAACCGCCTCACCTGGCTGCAGCAACTCTTACGCAGCATATGTTCGATTCGAAAACACACGTCGGAATGCATCCAGACGGTAGTGCGCGCTCCGGGCTTGTAAATCAAATAGATAGATGCGCCTCATCAGTCATGTACAGAGCCGAGTGGTTTCTGTTCGTCTTCTTTACAATACTGTCAAGTAAGACAGCAAGAAGAATCAAGACTTGACGCGGCGCAAATCAATCGATGGCGCAGCTTTGATTGCAAAATTGTCTACACATCGTCAGATAAGTACAACAAAACAGGGACTACCAACCGAAAATGTGCTGAAAAAAGTGTTACTCAAGGTCAGCTGGTGACGCAGTTGAACTGCGAAGTGCACATTTGGGAATGTGCTGGTGCTGACTGGTTTTGTCATCGTAACATGATCACCCGGAGAGACATGGCATCGATCCACGTGCCTCCCGTTCGAGAAGCGAGCGCTCGACAACCAGAGCCTCATGCTCACGTGTTATCACTGTCAACACACTATTAACATACCGATCCGGCATGCATAGACCGAATCACAACAACGGCCACAACAATACGTCGTTCTTGACTTTGCTATCACGACATTCCAATCAGTGATGGCACAACCACAAACGCACAACGCTTTTTACATACGCTACAAGAGCACAAAACAACTCGTCAGAATAATTCGGATCCATTTCATATGTACCACTCAGTGGCACTGGCATGCAAAATCATCAACTCAATATTGGACACTGCTGAATACGAGCTTGCCACTAACATCTGGGATGAAGAATCACATCCGATCTTGCAACCTAGCGACAATTATCTGTCTGTACAATCGCACCAAAGGTTGAGCTGCTCGTAACCGCCTCACCTGGCTGCAGCAACTCTTACGCAGCATATGTTCGATTCGAAAACACACGTCGGAATTCATCCAGACGGTAGTGCGCGCTCCGGGCTTGTAAATTAAATAGATAGATGCGCCTCATCAGTCATGTACAGAGCCGAGTGGTTTCTGTTCGTCTTTACAATACTGTCAAGTAAGACAGCAAGAAGAATCAAGACTTGACGCGGCGCAAATCAATCGATAGCGCAGCTTTGATTGCAAATTGTCTACACATCGTCAGATAAGTACAACAAAACAGGGACTACCAACCTGAAATTGTGCTGAAAAAAGTGTTACTCAAGGTCAGCTGGTGACGCAGTTGAACTGCGAAGTGCACATTTGGGAATGTGCTGGTGCTGACTGGTTTTGTCATCGTAACATGATCACGCCGGAGATGCATGGCATCGATCCACGTGCCTCCCGTTCGAGAAGCGAGCGCTCGACAACCAGAGCCTCATGCTCACGTGTTACCACTGTCAACACACTATTAACATACCGATCCGGCATACATAGCCCGAATCACAACAACGGCCACAACAATACGTCGTTCTTGACTTTGCTATCACGACATTCCAATCAGTGATGGCACAACCACAAACGCACAACGCTTTTTTTTGACATACGCTACAAGAGCACAAAACAACTCGTCAGAATATTCGGATCCATTTTTCATATGTACCACTCAGTGCACTGGCATGCAAAAATCATCAACTCAATATTGGACACTGCTGAATACGAGCTTGCCCACTAACATCTGGGATGAAGAATCATCCGATCTTGCAACCTAGCGACAATTATCTGTCTGTACAATCGCACCAAAGGTTGAGCTGCTCGTAACCGCCTCACCTGGCTGCAGCAACTCTTACGCAGCATATGTTCGATTCGAAAACACACGTCGGAATTCATCCAGACGGTAGTGCGCGCTCCGGGCTTGTAAAGCCAATAGATAGATGCGCCTCATCAGTCATGTACAGAGCCGAGTGGTTTCTGTTCGTCTTTACAATACTGTCAAGTAAGACAGCCAGAAGAATCAAGACTTGACGCGGCGCAAATCAATCGATAGCGCAGCTTTGATTGCAAAATTGTCTACACATCGTCAGATAAGTACAACAAAACAGGGACTACCAACCGAAGATGTGCTGAAAAAAGTGTTACTCAAGGTCAGCTGGTGACGCAGTTGAACTGCGAAGTGCAATCATTTGGGAGTGGGGTGCTGACTGGTTTTGTCATCGTAACATGATCACGCCAGAGATGCATGGGCATCGATCCACGTGCCTCCGGTTCGAGAAGCGAGCGCTCGACAACCAGAGCCTCATGCTCACGTGTTACCACTGTCAACACACTATTAACATACCGATCCGGCATGCATAGACCGAATCACAACAACGGCCACAACAATACGCGTCAGTTCTTGACTTTTGCTATCACGACATTCCAATCAGTGATGGCACAACCACAAACGCACAACGCTTTTTACATACGCTACAAGAGCACAAAAACAACTCGTCAGAATATTCGATCCATTTCATATGTACCACCTGCAGTGCACTGGCATGCAAAATCATCAACTCAATATTGCGACACTGCTGAATACGATCTTGCCACTAACATCTGGGATGAAGAATCATCCGATCTTGCAACCTAGCGACAATTATCTGTCTGTACAATCGCACCAAAGGTTGAGCTGCTCGTAACCGCCTCACCTGGCTGCAGCAACTCCTACGCAGCATATGTTCGATTCGGAAAACACACGTCGGAATTCATCCAGACGGTAGAGCGCGCGCCGGGCTTGTAAAGCAAATAGATAGATGCGCCTCATCAGTCATGTACAGAGCCGAGTGGTTTCTGTTCGTCTTTACAATACTGTCAAGTAAGACAGCAAGAAGAATCAAGACTTGACGCGGCGCAAATCAATCGATAGCGCAGCTTTGATTGCAAATTGTCTACACATCGTCAGATAAGTACAACAAAACAGGGACTACCAACCGAAGATGCGCTAAAAAAAGTGTTACTCAAGGTCAGCTGGTGACGCAGTTGAACTGCGAAGTGCACATTTGGGAATGTGCGGGTGCTGACTGGTTTTGTCATCGGAACATGATCACGCCGGAGAGACATGGCATCGATCCACGTGCCTCCCGTTCGAGAAGCGAGCGCTCGACAACCAGAGCCTCATGCTCACGTGTTACCACTGTCAACACACTATTAACATACCGATCCGGCATGCATAGACCGAATCACAACAACGTCCACAACAATACGTCGTTCTTGACTTTGCTATCACGACATTCCAATCAGTGATGGCACAACCACAAACGCACAACGCTTTTTACATACGCTACAAGAGCCCAAACAACTCGTCAGAATATTCGGATCCATTTCATATGTACCACTCAGTGCACTGGCATGAAAAAATCATCAACTCAATATTGGACACTGCTGAATACGAGCTTGCCACTAACATCTGGGATGAAGAATCATCCGATCTTGCAACCTAGTGGCACATCATCTGTCTGTACAATCGCACCAAAGGTTGAGCTGCTCGTAACCGCCTCACCTGGCTGCAGCAACTCTTACGCAGCATATGTTCGATTCGAAAACACACGTCGGAATTCATCCAGACGGTAGTGCGCGCTCCGGGCTTGTAAAGTAAATAGATAGATGCGCCTCATCAGTCATGTATAGAGCCGAGTGGTTTCTGTTCGTCTTTACAATACTTTCAAGTAAGACAGCAAGAAGAATCAAGACTTGACGCGGCGCAAATCAATCGATAGCGCAGCTTTGATTGCAAATTGTCTACACATCGTCAGATAAGTACAACAAAACAGGGACTACCAACCGAAAATGTGCTGAAAAAGTGTTACTCAAGGTCAGCTGGTGACGCAGTTGAACTGCGAAGTGCACATTTGGGAATGTGCTGGTGCTGACTGGTTTTGTCATCGTAACATGATCACGCCGGAGAGACATGGCATCGATCCACGTGCCTCCCGTTCGAGAAGCGAGCGCTCGACAACCAGAGCCTCATGCTCACGTGTTATCACTGTCAACACACTATTAACATACCGATCCGGCATGCATAGACCGAATCACAACAACGGCCACAACAATACGTCGTTCTTGACTTTGCTATCACGACATTCCAATCAGTGATGGCACAACCACAAACGCACAACGCTTTTTACATACGCTACAAGAGCACAAAACAACTCGTCCGAATATTCGGACCCATTTCATATCTACCACACTGCGCGCAGACGCATAAAAATCAAAACAATAAATTTAAAATCCGAAAGAGCTGCTTACCCACTAACATCTGGGATGAAGAATCATCCGATCTTGCAACCTAGCGACAATTATCTGTCTGTACAATCGCAACAAAGGTTGAGCTGCTCGTAACCGCCTCACCTGGCTGCAGCAACTCTTACGCAGCATATGTTCGATTCGAAAACACACGTCGGAATTCATCCAGACGGTAGTGCGCGCTCCGGGCTTGTAAATCAAATAGATAGATGCGCCTCATCAGTCATGTACAGAGCCGAGTGGTTTCTGTTCGTCTTTACAATACTGTCAAGTAAGACAGAAAGAAGAATCAAGACTTGACGCGGCGCAAATCAATCGATAGCGCAGCTTTGATTGCAAATTGTCTACACATCGTCAGATAAGTACAACAAAACAGGGACTACCAACCGAAGATGTGCTGAAAAAGTGTTACTCAAGGTCAGCTGGTGACGCAGTTGAACTGCGAAGTGCACATTTGGGAATGTGCTGGTGCTGACTGGTTTTGTCATCGTAACATGATCACGCCGGAGAGACATGGCATCGATCCACGTGCCTCCCGTTCGAGAAGCGAGCGCTCGACAACCAGAGCATCATGCTCACGTGTTACCACTGTCAACACACTATTAACATACCGATCCGGCATGCATAGACCGAATCACAACAACGGCCACAACAATACGTCGTTCTTGACTTTGCTATCACGACATTCCAATCAGTGATGGCACAACCACAAACGCACAACGCTTTTTACATACGCTACAAGAGCACAAAACAACTCGTCAGAATATTCGGATCCATTTCATATGTACCACTCAGTGCACTGGCATGCAAAATCATCAACTCAATATTGGACACTGCTGAATACGAGCTTGCCACTAACATCTGGGATGAAGAATCATCCGATCTTGCAACCTAGCGACAATTATCTGTCTGTACAATCGCACCAAAGGTTGAGCTGCTCGTAACCGCCTCACCTGGCTGCAGCAACTCTTACGCAGCATATGTTCGATTCGAAAACACACGTCGGAATTCATCCAGACGGTAGTGCGCGCTCCGGGCTTGTAAAGTAAATAGATAGATGCGCCTCATCAGTCATGTACAGAGCCGAGTGGTTTCTGTTCGTCTTTACAATACTGTCAAGTAAGACAGCAAGAAGAATCAAGACTTGACGCGGCGCAAATCAATCGATAGCGCAGCTTTGATTGCAAATTGTCTACACATCGTCAGATAAGTACAACAAAACAGGGACTACCAACCGAAAATGTGCTGAAAAAAGTGTTACTCAAGGTCAGCTGGTGACGCAGTTGAACTGCGAAGTGCACATTTGGGAATGTGCTGGTGCTGACTGGTTTTGTCATCGTAACATGATCACGCCGGAGAGACATGGCATCGATCCACGTGCCTCCCGTTCGAGAAGCGAGCGCTCGACAACCAGAGCCTCATGCTCACGTGTTATCACTGTCAACACACTATTAACATACCGATCCGGCATGCATAGACCGAATCACAACAACGTCCACAACAATACGTCGTTCTTGACTTTGCTATCACGACATTCCAATCAGTGATGGCACAACCACAAACGCACAACGCTTTTTACATACGCTACAAGAGCACAAAACAACTCGTCAGAATATTCGGATCCATTTCATATGTACCACTCAGTGCACTGGCATGCAAAATCATCAACTCAATATTGGACACTGCTGAATACGAGCTTGCCACTAACATCTGGGATGAAGAATCATCCGATCTTGCAACCTAGCGACAATTATCTGTCTGTACAATCGCACCAAAGGTTGAGCTGCTCGTAACCGCCTCACCTGGCTGCAGCAACTCTTACGCAGCATATGTTCGATTCGAAAACACACGTCGGAATTCATCCAGACGGTAGTGCGCGCTCCGGGCTTGTAAAGTCAAATAGATAGATGCGCCTCATCAGTCATGTACAGAGCCGAGTGGTTTCTGTTCGTCTTTACAATACTGTCAAGTAAGACAGCAAGAAGAATCAAGACTTGACGCGGCGCAAATCAATCGATAGCGCAGCTTTGATTGCAAATTGTCTACACATCGTCAGATAAGTACAACAAAACAGGGACTACCAACCGAAAATGTGCTGAAAAAAGTGTTACTCAAGGTCAGCTGGTGACGCAGTTGAACTGCGAAGTGCACATTTGGGAATGTGCTGGTGCTGACTGGTTTTGTCATCGTAACATGATCACGCCGGAGAGACATGGCATCGATCCACGTGCCTCCCGTTCGAGAAGCGAGCGCTCGACAACCAGAGCCTCATGCTCACGTGTTATCACTGTCAACACACTATTAACATACCGATCCGGCATGCATAGACCGAATCACAACAACGTCCACAACAATACGTCGTTCTTGACTTTGCTATCACGACATTCCAATCAGTGATGGCACAACCACAAACGCACAACGCTTTTTACATACGCTACAAGAGCACAAAACAACTCGTCAGAATATTCGGATCCATTTCATATGTACCACTCAGTGCACTGGCATGCAAAATCATCAACTCAATATTGGACACTGCTGAATACGAGCTTGCCACTAACATCTGGGATGAAGAATCATCCGATCTTGCAACCTAGCGACAATTATCTGTCTGTACAATCGCACCAAAGGTTGAGCTGCTCGTAACCGCCTCACCTGGCTGCAGCAACTCTTACGCAGCATATGTTCGATTCGAAAACACACGTCGGAATTCATCCAGACGGTAGTGCGCGCTCCGGGCTTGTAAAGTAAATAGATAGATGCGCCTCATCAGTCATGTACAGAGCCGAGTGGTTTCTGTTCGTCTTTACAATACTGTCAAGTAAGACAGCAAGAAGAATCAAGACTTGACGCGGCGCAAATCAATCGATAGCGCAGCTTTGATTGCAAATTGTCTACACATCGTCAGATAAGTACAACAAAACAGGGACTACCAACCGAAAATGTGCTGAAAAAGTGTTACTCAAGGTCAGCTGGTGACGCAGTTGAACTGCGAAGTGCACATTTGGGAATGTGCTGGTGCTGACTGGTTTTGTCATCGTAACATGATCACGCCGGAGAGACATGGCATCGATCCACGTGCCTCCCGTTCGAGAAGCGAGCGCTCGACAACCAGAGCCTCATGCTCACGTGTTACCACTGTCAACACACTATTAACATACCGATCCGGCATGCATAGACCGAATCACAACAACGGCCACAACAATACGTCGTTCTTGACTTTGCTATCACGACATTCCAATCAGTGATGGCACAACCACAAACGCACAACGCTTTTTACATACGCTACAAGAGCACAAAACAACTCGTCAGAATATTCGGATCCATTTCATATGTACCACTCAGTGCACTGGCATGCAAAATCATCAACTCAATATTGGACACTGCTGAATACGAGCTTGCCACTAACATCTGGGATGAAGAATCATCCGATCTTGCAACCTAGCGACAATTATCTGTCTGTACAATCGCAACAAAGGTTGAGCTGCTCGTAACCGCCTCACCTGGCTGCAGCAACTCTTACGCAGCATATGTTCGATTCGAAAACACACGTCGGAATTCATCCAGACGGTAGTGCGCGCTCCGGGCTTGTAAAATCAAATAGATAGATGCGCCTCATCAGTCATGTACAGAGCCGAGTGGTTTCTGTTCGTCTTTACAATACTGTCAAGTAAGACAGCAAGAAGAATCAAGACTTGACGCGGCGCAAATCAATCGATAGCGCAGCTTTGATTGCAAATTGTCTACACATCGTCAGATAAGTACAACAAAACAGGGACTACCAACCGAAAATGTGCTGAAAAAAGTGTTACTCAAGGTCAGCTGGTGACGCAGTTGAACTGCGAAGTGCACATTTGGGAATGTGCTGGTGCTGACTGGTTTTGTCATCGTAACATGATCACGCCGGAGAGACATGGCATCGATCCACGTGCCTCCCGTTCGAGAAGCGAGCGCTCGACAACCAGAGCCTCATGCTCACGTGTTACCACTGTCAACACACTATTAACATACCGATCCGGCATGCATAGACCGAATCACAACAACGGCCACAACAATACGTCGTTCTTGACTTTGCTATCACGACATTCCAATCAGTGATGGCACAACCACAAACGCACAACGCTTTTTACATACGCTACAAGAGCACAAAACAACTCGTCAGAATATTCGGATCCATTTCATATGTACCACTCAGTGCACTGGCATGCAAAATCATCAACTCAATATTGGACACTGCTGAATACGAGCTTGCCACTAACATCTGGGATGAAGAATCATCCGATCTTGCAACCTAGCGACAATTATCTGTCTGTACAATCGCACCAAAGGTTGAGCTGCTCGTAACCGCCTCACCTGGCTGCAGCAACTCTTACGCAGCATATGTTCGATTCGAAAACACACGTCGGAATTCATCCAGACGGTAGTGCGCGCTCCGGGCTTGTAAAGTCAAATAGATAGATGCGCCTCATCAGTCATGTACAGAGCCGAGTGGTTTCTGTTCGTCTTTACAATACTGTCAAGTAAGACAGCAAGAAGAATCAAGACTTGACGCGGCGCAAATCAATCGATAGCGCAGCTTTGATTGCAAATTGTCTACACATCGTCAGATAAGTACAACAAAACAGGGACTACCAACCGAAAATGTGCTGAAAAAAGTGTTACTCAAGGTCAGCTGGTGACGCAGTTGAACTGCGAAGTGCACATTTGGGAATGTGCTGGTGCTGACTGGTTTTGTCATCGTAACATGATCACGCCGGAGAGACATGGCATCGATCCACGTGCCTCCCGTTCGAGAAGCGAGCGCTCGACAACCAGAGCCTCATGCTCACGTGTTACCACTGTCAACACACTATTAACATACCGATCCGGCATGCATAGACCGAATCACAACAACGGCCACAACAATACGTCGTTCTTGACTTTGCTATCACGACATTCCAATCAGTGATGGCACAACCACAAACGCACAACGCTTTTTACATACGCTACAAGAGCACAAAACAACTCGTCAGAATATTCGGATCCATTTCATATGTACCACTCAGTGCACTGGCATGCAAAATCATCAACTCAATATTGGACACTGCTGAATACGAGCTTGCCACTAACATCTGGGATGAAGAATCATCCGATCTTGCAACCTAGCGACAATTATCTGTCTGTACAATCGCACCAAAGGTTGAGCTGCTCGTAACCGCCTCACCTGGCTGCAGCAACTCTTACGCAGCATATGTTCGATTCGAAAACACACGTCGGAATTCATCCAGACGGTAGTGCGCGCTCCGGGCTTGTAAATCAAATAGATAGATGCGCCTCATCAGTCATGTACAGAGCCGAGTGGTTTCTGTTCGTCTTTACAATACTGTCAAGTAAGACAGCAAGAAGAATCAAGACTTGACGCGGCGCAAATCAATCGATAGCGCAGCTTTGATTGCAAATTGTCTACACATCGTCAGATAAGTACAACAAAACAGGGACTACCAACCGAAGATGTGCTGAAAAAAGTGTTACTCAAGGTCAGCTGGTGACGCAGTTGAACTGCGAAGTGCACATTTGGGAATGTGCTGGTGCTGACTGGTTTTGTCATCGTAACATGATCACGCCGGAGAGACATGGCATCGATCCACGTGCCTCCCGTTCGAGAAGCGAGCGCTCGACAACCAGAGCCTCATGCTCACGTGTTATCACTGTCAACACACTATTAACATACCGATCCGGCATGCATAGACCGAATCACAACAACGGCCACAACAATACGTCGTTCTTGACTTTGCTATCACGACATTCCAATCAGTGATGGCACAACCACAAACGCACAACGCTTTTGACATACGCTACAAGAGCACAAAACAACTCGTCAGAATATTCGGATCCATTTCATATGTACCACTCAGTGCACTGGCATGCAAAATCATCAACTCAATATTGGACACTGCTGAATACGAGCTTGCCACTAACATCTGGGATGAAGAATCATCCGATCTTGCAACCTAGCGACAATTATCTGTCTGTACAATCGCACCAAAGGTTGAGCTGCTCGTAACCGCCTCACCTGGCTGCAGCAACTCTTACGCAGCATATGTTCGATTCGAAAACACACGTCGGAATTCATCCAGACGGTAGTGCGCGCTCCGGGCTTGTAAAGTCAAATAGATAGATGCGCCTCATCAGTCATGTACAGAGCCGAGTGGTTTCTGTTCGTCTTTACAATACTGTCAAGTAAGACAGCAAGAAGAATCAAGACTTGACGCGGCGCAAATCAATCGATAGCGCAGCTTTGATTGCAAATTGTCTACACATCGTCAGATAAGTACAACAAAACAGGGACTACCAACCGAAAATGTGCTGAAAAAAGTGTTACTCAAGGTCAGCTGGTGACGCAGTTGAACTGCGAAGTGCACATTTGGGAATGTGCTGGTGCTGACTGGTTTTGTCATCGTAACATGATCACGCCGGAGAGACATGGCATCGATCCACGTGCCTCCCGTTCGAGAAGCGAGCGCTCGACAACCAGAGCCTCATGCTCACGTGTTACCACTGTCAACACACTATTAACATACCGATCCGGCATGCATAGACCGAATCACAACAACGGCCACAACAATACGTCGTTCTTGACTTTGCTATCACGACATTCCAATCAGTGATGGCACAACCACAAACGCACAACGCTTTTTACATACGCTACAAGAGCACAAAACAACTCGTCAGAATATTCGGATCCATTTCATATGTACCACTCAGTGCACTGGCATGCAAAATCATCAACTCAATATTGGACACTGCTGAATACGAGCTTGCCACTAACATCTGGGATGAAGAATCATCCGATCTTGCAACCTAGCGACAATTATCTGTCTGTACAATCGCACCAAAGGTTGAGCTGCTCGTAACCGCCTCACCTGGCTGCAGCAACTCTTACGCAGCATATGTTCGATTCGAAAACACACGTCGGAATTCATCCAGACGGTAGTGCGCGCTCCGGGCTTGTAAATCAAATAGATAGATGCGCCTCATCAGTCATGTACAGAGCCGAGTGGTTTCTGTTCGTCTTTACAATACTGTCAAGTAAGACAGCAAGAAGAATCAAGACTTGACGCGGCGCAAATCAATCGATAGCGCAGCTTTGATTGCAAATTGTCTACACATCGTCAGATAAGTACAACAAAACAGGGACTACCAACCGAAAATGTGCTGAAAAAAGTGTTACTCAAGGTCAGCTGGTGACGCAGTTGAACTGCGAAGTGCACATTTGGGAATGTGCTGGTGCTGACTGGTTTTGTCATCGTAACATGATCACGCCGGAGAGACATGGCATCGATCCACGTGCCTCCCGTTCGAGAAGCGAGCACTCGACAACCAGAGCATCATGCTCACGTGTTACCACTGTCAACACACTATTAACATACCGATCCGGCATGCATAGACCGAATCACAACAACGGCCACAACAATACGTCGTTCTTGACTTTGCTATCACGACATTCCAATCAGTGATGGCACAACCACAAACGCACAACGCTTTTGACATACGCTACAAGAGCACAAAACAACTCGTCAGAATATTCGGATCCATTTCATATGTACCACTCAGTGCACTGGCATGCAAAATCATCAACTCAATATTGGACACTGCTGAATACGAGCTTGCCACTAATATCTGGGATGAATAATCATCCGATCTTGCAACCTAGCGACAATTATCTGTCTGTACAATCGCACCAAAGGTTGAGCTGCTCGTAACCGCCTCACCTGGCTGCAGCAACTCTTACGCAGCATATGTTCGATTCGAAAACACACGTCAAAATTCATCCAGACGGTAGTGCGCGCTCCGGGCTTGTAAAGTAAATAGATAGATGCGCCTCATCAGTCATGTACAGAGCCGAGTGGTTTCTGTTCGTCTTTACAATACTGTCAAGTAAGACAGCAAGAAGAATCAAGACTTGACGCGGCGCAAATCAATCGATAGCGCAGCTTTGATTGCAAATTGTCTACACATCGTCAGATAAGTACAACAAAACAGGGACTACCAACCGAAAATGTGCTGAAAAAAGTGTTACTCAAGGTCAGCTGGTGACGCAGTTGAACTGCGAAGTGCACATTTGGGAATGTGCTGGTGCTGACTGGTTTTGTCATCGTAACATGATCACGCCGGAGAGACATGGCATCGATCCACGTGCCTCCCGTTCGAGAAGCGAGCGCTCGACAACCAGAGCCTCATGCTCACGTGTTACCACTGTCAACACACTATTAACATACCGATCCGGCATGCATAGACCGAATCACAACAACGGCCACAACAATACGTCGTTCTTGACTTTGCTATCACGACATTCCAATCAGTGATGGCACAACCACAAACGCACAACGCTTTTTACATACGCTACAAGAGCACAAAACAACTCGTCAGAATATTCGGATCCATTTCATATGTACCACTCAGTGCACTGGCATGCAAAATCATCAACTCAATATTGGACACTGCTGAATACGAGCTTGCCACTAACATCTGGGATGAATAATCATCCGATCTTGCAACCTAGCGACAATTATCTGTCTGTACAATCGCACCAAAGGTTGAGCTGCTCGTAACCGCCTCACCTGGCTGCAGCAACTCTTACGCAGCATATGTTCGATTCGAAAACACACGTCGGAATTCATCCAGACGGTAGTGCGCGATCCGGGCTTGTAAAGTAAATAGATAGATGCGCCTCATCAGTCATGTACAGAGCCGAGTGGTTTCTGTTCGTCTTTACAATACTGTCAAGTAAGACAGCAAGAAGAATCAAGACTTGACGCGGCGCAAATCAATCGATAGCGCAGCTTTGATTGCAAATTATCTACACATCGTCAGATAAGTACAACAAAACTGTTAGCGAGTGATGATGCGGCGACTTGTGCAGGGTGTATATTGCATATTCGCATTAGTTGTATTGTTCTTTGGCAGGTTTATATTGGGGGATGTTAGCGAAACGACAAGTCATCGGATTGGCTCAGTCGTTTGGGAAGGGGGATTCCACGCGGGTGAGTGCGGGTTCGATCCCCGCCGTGTACAAGTTAATTGTGACCTACACTCACGACCTGGTGTTTGGGGTTCACCAGAACTGTGACCCGCCCGCAGTTACGCCCCCCACCCACGCAATCGTTTTCATTCAGCATATGACACAGCAGAGTTTTTACGAAAGGTATTTACGAGACGTAATTACCCAGTGATAGGTAAAACAGAAAGCGGTGGAGACAGGGCACGAAATAGGTGGCTGAGAGTCACCGGCTACTACTAGCCATTCGTTTTCGAAGCTAGGAACAATTTGAATACAACTCACTTTTCGGTTTTCATCCCCGGCCGTAAGCCATCTTCTTCTCAGCATCAGCTCCACAACCTAGTTAATTCTAACAGGTTATGAGCCCAAGGAACGACTCCGGTTTCAAGGTCGAGCCTTTCGACGGCTCGAACTATGGGTTGTGGAGTTACAAGATGAAGATGTACCTGATGTCGAAGGGGCTGTGGGGCGCGATCGCGGGCGATGAGACAACAAGTGAGGCCAAGGAACAGCAAGCCCACGCCGCGATCGTGCTGAATCTGAGCGATTCACAGTTGATGCATGTCATCGACTCGGCCACCGCAAGAGAAGCGTGGGGACGTCTGGCGCGATTTCATCACAGTCATGACATGGCGAATCGACTTTGGCTGAAGGAAAAGTTCGCGTCGTTCAAGTATGCAGCATCAAGCATGAGCGGTCATGTGATGGAGCTGGAGGACCTCGTGATGAAGATGAAGCGCGCGAACTGCGGTCCAAGTGAAGAGGACGTGTGCGCAGTACTGTTGCGGAGTCTACCTTCAAGCTTCGAGAGCTTGGTACAGGCATTCCGCATGTCCGTCGCAAGCTTCAGTTTCAGTGACCTCGTGAGCAAGTTGATCGCCGAAGAAGTGCGCCAGAATGAGGGAGCACGAGTAGAAGATGCAACGGCGCTCTACGCAGGCAAGAGGAAGGGTAAGCAGTACCCGAAGAAGCAACAAGGACGGCGCGCGAAAGGACCATCAGGGACCTGCTACAACTGTGGCAAGGTCGGACACTACGCCAGAGATTGTCGCTCCGGTCGAGGGCCAAGGGAGCAACAGCATGACCAGTCGAATGTCGCGTTTCATGCCAGCGAAGGTTTCGCGAGCAACAGCTGGGTCATGGACAGTGGCGCGTCAGCACACATGTGCAAGGATCGAGATGCGTTCGAAGAGTACGAAGAAGTGCATCATGCGCGAAGCATTTCAAGCGCAAAGAGCGACGTGAAGCTGAATGTCATTGGACATGGGACAGTGAAGCTGCGCGTCTGGACAGGACATGCGTGGATCGACGCTCGCCTTGAGAACACACTTCACGTTCAAGATTTGTCCAAGAACCTGTTTTCGCTCACGGCTGCGGCAGCGCGCGGCATGACAGTGGAGATAACGCGCAACGAGTGCGTGGTCAAGCGTGGCGGCACACCCGTCGCAACAGGAAGGAAGCAGGGGTTCCTCCTGTATCTCAATGCTGACTATGGTACGGAGTGCCACATGGCCGAAGACGATACAGAGCTATGGCATAGAAGACTGGGTCACGTGTCGTATGGTACGCTGAATGCCATGGTCAAGGACGGAAGGATCAAGGGCGCAACGATGAAGACGAACGTTGCGTGTGACGTATGCGCAACGTCAAAGCAAGTGCGCAAGTCATTCAAGACAAGTGAAGAAGACGCTGAAACCAGGGAGAGTTCGCGTTCCGACGTGGTGGTGTGCTCCGACGTTCTCGGACCTATCACGCCAGCGTCCAAGTCTGGTTTCAGTTACGCCGTAACCTTCATCATGATGAAGAGCAGGTATGTAACGGTCTATCCGTTGCGAAAGAAGAGCGACGTTGCGAGTGCGTTCAAGCGGTTTTACCAAGATGTCAAGACAGCATCTGGAACGAAGATAAAGGTGTTGCGAAGTGACAACGGCGGCGAATACCGGAACGCAACGATGAACAGCTTTTGCAAGGCAAAGTTCATTAAGCAAGAGTTCACGGTTCCGTACAACCCAGAGCAGAACGGGATGGCGGAGCGGATGAACCGCACGCTGGTGGAGATGACGCGCTGTATGCTCAAGGAAAGCGGTCTCGACAAGTCCTATTGGTGCGAGGCACTAATGACAGCGGCAGACATCAGAAACATTCTGCCGAACGCGTCGAACAAGAACTCAAGCCCACACGAGATGGTGTTCAAGAAGGTTCCGCGCATCGATCACATGCGCGTGTTTGGTGCGCAATGCTATGCGCATGTGGCGAAGGAGAAGAGAAAGAAGCTGGACGACTCAGGCGTGCGATGTTTCTTTCTCGGCTATGAGAAGGACCAAAAGGCGTATCGGCTTCTCAACGCGGACGATGGCTCGATCGTGATTTCAAGAAGCGTCACGTTCGCTGAGCATTCTGTCTCGAAAGCATCAAAAAGCAGAGACACGCGGGTGTTCGATGTCATTGAAGAAGAGGAAAGTGTGGAGGCGTCGTTACCCGATGATGAAGACATACCAGCGCCGGTGACCGAAGAAGAGCTGCGCACCCCACCACTTCGAGCGCAGAACAGCTCTCATCACGGACCAAGTGTTCGACCAAGCGACACCATTCCTACGCGCGCATCCAGCACACCCGGAAGAAATGGAGAAGAAGAGTGGATGGTGCGACCGGTTCGAAAGAAGCGCGGCGTGGTTCGCTACGATCAAGAATTTCCAAGCCATCGTCGCGGTCACTTCAATTTGGACGACTACGAAGGTGACTTCGACTCTTTCTACTGTTTCTCGGCTGAAGAAGATGGGGAACAAGCGTCCAGCTATCAAGAAGTGATGAAGAGCGGCTACAAGGAGCAGTGGCTCCAGGCAATGAAGAGCGAGATGAAGTCGCTTGAAGAACACAGCACATGGAAGCTAGTAAAAATGCCACCGGGCAAGAAGGCCGTAGGCTGCAAGTGGGTCTTCAAGATTAAACGCGATCCAAGTGGCGAGATAATCAAGTTCAAGGCACGCTTGGTTGCGAAAGGGTTCACGCAGCGTCCTGGCATCGACTATAACGAGACCTTTGCACCAGTGGCGCGCAAGGAATCTATCAACACAGTGTTGGCGATCGCTGCAGCTGAAGACCTGGAAGCAGAGAACGTTGATGTCGACACAGCGTTTCTCAACGGCGAAGTGGAAGAGGAGATCTACATGGACCAACCTGACGGTTTTGAAGATGAAGGAAGCCCGAATAAGAAGTGTTTGCTGCAGAAGGCGCTATACGGGACGAAGCAAGCGGCGCGGCAGTGGAACAACAAGTTGAGTCAGCACTTGGTTGATCAAGGATTCAAGAGCAGTACAGCGGACCCGTGTGTGTTCGTTCGAGTGACAAGAGAGGAGTACAGCATCATCGTGATCTACGTGGACGACTTGATGATTTTCTGCAAGACGAAGGAGCACATCGCAAGTATCAAGAACTCATTGATGGAAGATTTCAGCATTAAAGATCTTGGAGATCTCAAGTACTGCCTCGG